ATTTATAACTGTAGAGTCTGAACGGGAAGTTATCGAAAACAATTGTTCGCTCAAAATCTTGTTTTGATTTCAAAATGGGGATTTTTCATTTACTGAAACAATAGTTCTATTCTGAAAGGTTCGTTTTAGTCATGGTAGAGAATTTTTAACTTGTTTTAGTGTGATTCATTATAATAGAGGTTTTTTTGTATTTCCCAATGAATGAAAAAACAAAACGATATTGTTTTTACTGACGTTTCGCTATTTAATGCTAATAGCTTTCTCAAAGTATTATGATGCATTTAGATGGATGGAGAGATTTGGTAGCCCAGGCATTTAAGTTGGTCACAAGAACAGACAAGTGGTAGTTTGATAGTCATATCTAAGCAGCAGGTTAATTGTAATTCATTATAGTGCTCACACGCTTTATTTCTCCATGTTAAATCTACAGTCTAAAATATGTGTAAGCTAAGGGGGGTCCGTGTTTGAATCAGACGATAAAAAATGGTGAAATAATGGACACCTGCAGAAAGATATATGAGATAGCTGAACATGTCACCTACATGCTACCCCTTTCTACCTTTATATCTACCATTCAGATTATTAACAGTAGTAACTTTTATTCTCGTATAAAGACCTTTATAAGAGTGGCGCCAGCCAACAGACAGCAAGGTGCTTTTTTAAGAGTTAATGTTAGGGATAACTTTTTAATGATATAAATTGTACGTGAGCATCAGTAAATTATACCGTGTGTGATAATAAACAAAACTGGAGCAAAAATATGTTGACAGTCAGGAGGAATAAATCTCGACGTCAAAAAGTATCGAAAAATAGTGTTGTCTGGAGAATAAGTATTTGTTTATATTATTCAGCATTGTACCTATGTGAGGTGAAGTAAAAGCGTTGAGTTACACGTGGTATGATTCGTTTATTATCTCCCTGTGATTTGCTGCGACGGTACACTCATTTATACACTCTTTAACAAATAAAAAGATATCTTGACTGCTGATGATTCATTTGCTCGCACGAAGATTTAATAAATTAGCACATAACAGATTTGTTCATCGACTTTGTAAAGGCCATCAGGAGTGTTCACCGTGAAGTAGTTCGCTAACCGTTTACCAACCCCATTAAACAGCTGCATGATGATGATGATGTTAGATGCCAGATGACTCACAGTGGAAAACTCAATAAAGCGTCTGAAGTGAAGACAGGAATAACAGAAACCTGCCCACTATCACTGATGTCATTCTCAATTGGTGTGTATTGGACTATGTGGCATATGATAGGCAGCGAGAAAACAGGAATACGCTGGACCAGTAGGAAAAACCCAGATTTTTATTTCTCAAATGATTTGCATAATCTGTTGATTTCATGTTGACTGACTGAAAAGTGAGAACCAAAGGGCTGGTCTACTTGGGAATATATTGTATCAGAAAGCTGAGATTATTAAGGCTAATACCACAATTTTATGTGACTATCTGTCGGAAAGGAGAAGTAGACTCAAGGTTACAACATTATTGTCAAGTTAATGATTCTATATAAGTCAGAGACTTGAGGCGTTGTGAAAATCATTTTGAACAGGTTATTGCAGAATTTCATCAACAGCTGTCTCCTCTGTATACTGACAACCTATCAGGAAGGATAAGCAACAAGGAACTCTGGAAGACAACGTACCTTCTAAGAACCTATTTCACATGAAATATGCCGAAACAAATGGAAGTGGAATAGTGAAACGACGAGCTATGCATCTCTTTGAGGAGGACAAAGAGGGAATTATGTGAAGTAAAAATGAACGCTTATTGATAACTGTGCAGCCAGGTAAAGATGTCTGTGGAGAGCACGATGAAATGAGGATGCGCTGCTAAAGCCTCATTTCCCATTAGATACCTAAGGGAATAATAATAATTCAGTACATAAATATGTTTGTGAATGCTAAGTTGTACTTAAACAAGCTTATGTTGTTTGTTACTTTGGAAAAGAGTAGCTGGTGAAAATTCAGTTATGTTACCTAAGTCTGACTTTTTAATATACGAGTTAGAATCTGAATGTGATGGTGTCTTTGATATGGTCAATAACAACAAAAACAACGACAACCATAGGCTAATTCAGACTTCACTGCCCGCTGATAAGCCGTATATCTCTTGTATTTGTAATCTATGTAATATCCACTTATTGTTTATTTTCCACTGTTTTATTGGCTGTAAATAAACTGACTTTTAGGTAAAACTAAAATATTAAAAGTGTTCAGTATAAAAAATAGAAGGTAACATTTTAAACTATTTGAAATGAAAATGATTGTTGATGCAGTGAGACTAACAACAACACTTTGATATGTGGAAATGTACCAGGCTTTTCGGAGTGCCTTCATCTTTCATTATGTTTGCAGTGCAAAGAAGGGAGTCATGCCTTAAAGTTTCACTAGAGGTGGCATTGTCTTCAAAGAGTTTAGTCATCGCTAGCTTCACACCCAACTTTACCTGTTTTCCGTGCCTAATTCTAATAGGGAGATATAACCCAGCTGACAAACGCTGCGTTTTTGAACTACCAATGCGCTTTAGGAAAGTCTACTAATACTCATTCAGATCAAACATAAGTGCATTTCATTGTAGCTAAAAGATGAAATTCATTAGTTTTGAAGATACTTACAGTTTAAACAAGTGAAAAAAATAAATGTTATAAGGTCTACTGTGACGTTTTCGAATGGAATACACAATATTTGATTCCACCTAGATGGCATTTGTCTTTGACAGTTGGGACATAAAATAGGCACAAAGGTTTATTGCCTTTTGTCTTATTCTGTCTACTAATTCAAGAGCATTATCACTTTGTCATCTGCTAGAATTCGTTATTCCCTCACTAATCTTCTTTGAAGAGCTCCCGCTTCTAAATGTATGTTTGTTGAGTTTCCCTCCATTTAGCTGCTACAACTGGAATTAATGCATCCTTATTTAAGGTTTAGAATGATGTGTCTATCTGGTTATGTGAAACTATTTTTAACGTTGATATATGAATTTCATAACCAATAGCAGACAGAGAACGGTTGAAAAAGAAATGGTTCACACATCATTTACTTCCTGACTCTTTGAAATGTATCATATATACCCTTTGTTCTCCACTATTTTCACATTATTCACCCACTTGTTTAGAATCTAGTGTTCAGTAACTTTAAGCAATGTCTATCTAATTTTATATTATCATCAGTATTTAGTGTCACTGAGGTATAAATGCCGTATTGAATGAAGTGATTGGTTCACTTAGCTATATTTTTAATGTGGTTATGTTCTCTGAGCTGGATAGTTATATTGCGAAGCTTTCATCACCATACTGGGTGACATCTTCAGCGCATACACTTCAATTCGATGAAGTGAGCTTTGAGATTTCTCCACGAGTTTACTAATCATCTCTCCTGGTCGCTGACCTTGGACATGACTGATTGTTTTTGTGTGTTTTCACACCTTCTAGGTTACTTGTATTGGAGCTGATTGTTTCTTTGACTTTAACTCTGACCCTTTGTGTGTGAGGTTTCTTTCTTATCGGTTGATAAATTTTGTCTATCTCGATGTGTCTATTGATTGATGATTCACTGGAATGCCAAGCTTCTAAAAATTCTCTAGCCTTCTTGTTGTTTCCTTTGTAACAAAATAAATTTTACAAAATAAGTTAAAACAACTGAGAAAAACACTACATTGGCCAAAGTGGACGTCCCCTTCGTCTTCGTATCCACGATCATGAGCTAGCCGTCAAAAGACATGATATCCACCCCCTCATATCACTACATACAGACAACCACGGATATCAGTTCGACTGGGACAATGTTCAAATATTAGACAGAGGAAACAACAAGAAGGCTAGAGAATTTTAAGAAGCTTGGCATTCCAGTGAATCATCAATCAATAGACACATCGAGATAGACAAAATTTATCAACCGATAAGAAAGAAACCTCACACACAAAGGGTCAGAGTTAAAGTCAAAGAAACAATCAGCTCCAATACAAGTAACCTAGAAGGTGTGAAAACACACAAAAACAATCAGTCATGTCCAAGGTCAGCGACCAGGAGAGATGATTAGTAAACTCGTGGAGAAATCTCAAAGCTCACTTCATCGAATTGAAGTGTATGCGCTGAAGATGTCACCCAGTATGGTGATGAAAGCTTCGCAATATAACTATCCAGCTCAGAGAACACTACCACATCAAAATTACCCACCTGAGCTACAAATCTTCTTTATAATACTTAGCTATATGTTTGCTTCGGTTGTAAGGAGGACAATGCTGGAACTATCTCGAATATATAACCCTCTACAAGTTTTACCTATAGACGAAGTTATTAATACTAACATTCCCTTCATCTTGCTGTATGCGGTCATTTTTGACTGGGTTCATGGTTTCCCATAAACTTTCATCTCCTCTTGACACAATCTCTTCTGTGTCATTCTCAGATACTCACCTCGTCTCTTCCATTCGTGCTGCACTTGAGAATCTGCCTGGTGCATAATGTCACTCAGTAATCTCAGCATTTGTTCGACCGATTTCCGCTTCCTTCAGCATGTTTGTTAGGCAATAGGTTCACGACTGGCACATTGTCTGCCAAAGTTCCTTGTTGTTAATCTTTTCTGACCAATCCTATGATTTTCAGTATGGAACGGAGGCAGCTGTTGGAAATGCCTAAGGTGACGTACCAATTTTCTGAAATTTATAGAAGCAGTCAGTAACTTTACATGAATGTAGAAAATCCGAATCTTGTCGTTGATGTTTAGTACAGTGGATTTCCAAACAGATTTCAGATTGAGGAAGGTGTGTTTTTTTCCTTCTGATCTTGGCTTTGATATCTTCGCTAGTTCACCAGTTAACTAGCTGGTCCTAAGCCTGGAAAAAGATGGAAGGGTGGTATTGGCCCTATCGATCTCACTGAAACTTGAGTAAACAGAAAAGAATACATGAAGTTAGCATAGTTTAATTTCAGATGATATATACATTTCAAAATATCATACATTATTTATCCGATCTTTAAATTTACAGGCAGAAGATAAACAAAATAAGTTATGAAGGGAAATTATTTATCATTCAAGTGGAATGGGAACAGGTAAGTGATATTCTTTAAGAAGGAAAGCTTAACAATCATTTTTCTAAAATTACCATCATATGCCTTCTTTATTGACTTTCTTACCACTTATATGTTTTTGTTTGGTAGAAATATAAATAGTACAGACTTAACTAGTTTCTGATGTAAAAATACTTCATTCAAGCTTGTAATGATGAAATTTAAAAATATTGTTGTAAACTTCATATAGTTAACTAAAGTGAAATTGGAAACCACTATGAAGGAGACGTAAGTTAAGGTGTATGTTATGCTTATTTAACTTTACTATACTGCTCAATGTTTATCATCAGTGTCCATGTCACCTATCATTCAGTATGTAGAGATGCCATTTACCACAAATATGATAAAATAAAGTTTCTACTAGGTCAGTTATAAATGAACCTTGGTCAAGTCGTGGTTATGCAGATTGACAGATTATGAGAGTTATTAGCTTTGAAAGTTTCCTCTAGCAGAACAAGTAGAACCTTTTGTATTGAATACAATACTTACTGGTTGAAATAAATTCAAACGAATTTTAATTACCTTCCTGTCTTTAACTGTGTCTGCAAATTGACATGCGTATCTGGAAGCACCTGTGTTGAGGAAAGAAGAATAATGGTGTGTAACTTGAAATATTTTGAGTAAATTCTAAAATACTTAGGCCTCACGGAAGCAGTATATCTTGTAGTGCAATAAGCAGCTTTGTTGTCAGTAGGGTAGATGACGCAGATGGTGTTATCTCCTTCAAGATAATTGGCTGAGTCAAACTGAGCACACAGCTGATGGGCTAGGCTCCAAACAAGTAAAAAGACTATCCAGTATTTAGAATTTATCGATATGGCTGGGGCTAACAAGCACTAATGATTGATGTAAATGGCCCATGATTATGCATCTTAATCAGTTAGAGGTATGTAGTTTTATGTCAGTATGCTTGCTTCCTTGATCACCATTCATGGTATCAAGCAAATCATGTATTGTAGTCTGAATAATTTCGGTTTCCGAAGAAAACTTTGGTAAGATAATCATCATCTTGAACTGCATAAATGGCGAATTAACTTGCAAATTGACAGTCTGACTTACGGAACAGCTGAATTTTATGTGTACGAAAGTGCGTTTAGACTCAAAAAGGAGCAGTGTCAGTCTGCCTTTGCCTTGGTAATTGCCTCCAACATTTTAGGCTTACTGAGCTGAATGCATCCTACTGATAAATGACTTATATTTTGGACTTTCAATCATTTGGTGTTTTTCACGAAATCATTTTTTCTAAATATTTATTGATCATAAAGATTATTTTGAACCTTCAGCCGAATATGATATTCTAACTGCAGGTTTTTGAAACATATCGTTTAAATGCTTCTTATACTTCTAAACACACTATCTAGTATCATGTCATCACTTCAAGTATGTTGGAATTTCAAGTCAGAGTATGTCACAAAGCAACACCAGCCACCCATCAGTGATTTGTGCTAAGATAAACTTTCTGAAGCTTTAGTTAACACACTGTGATTAGTGCATTCATAAAGCAAGGGAAGGTGCAGTCGTACTACTAGTCAACAGAAGCATATGTTATAACACCACAACTCTTTTATCTCATTGTCTAATAGTCCTGGGTTCAACTCTTGAAGGTATCATGCGTATGAAATACTAGTCACTCTGAAACACAGCAAAATAATAATCCACGACTGCATGTTTCTCAAAACTTCAACTCCATAGATTGCAATCACGTGACCAGAAAACTGCACAATAATATGATACCTACTACTCTATCTATTAGTTCATTCTTCTGTACTCAACCTCATAAGATGAATGTTCGCAAGTCAAATTCGAGTAGAACCACAATTTTGAAGTCTGCCACTTTTAAGTATCCATTTTATTTTCGTTATAATAAAGGTTTTTTGTATTCCCCAATGAATGAAAAACAAAACGATATTGTTTTTACTGACGTTTCGCTATTTAATGCTGATAGCTTTCTCAAAGTATTATTAAACAGGAATTTACAAAATCTCAGCATATATATACTAAAGAGTTAAGGGGTGAGAAAATAGACTTACGTCAAGTTAAAAATTGTCTGAACAGAAATGATAAACCAAAACGGAATCTGATATGGTTACAACACCTCCCTCCTCTCCCCAACGAAGTGACAAAATCAACACAAATGTGATAAGCACGTTCACTGTGCAAACACACACTATTTTTATAATGTCACACACTGATCAAATCCAATAATCTACACTTGGCTTTGTTATCTCTACCAGTTGACCATCTTAAGAACGAAAAATGACCCCGGACTGACGAACGATGATCAAGTTAGTGAACTTTGTTTTGATATCATAACAGATGTGCTATTACCTTTGATATTTGTTTTAGTGATCTTCATTATTATTCTTAAGTTGACCTAAGTCTATTTTCTCGCCCCTTAACTCTTTGTTATATATATGCTGAGATTTTGTAAATTCCGGTTTAATAATACTTTGATAAAGCTATTAGCAGCAGCATTAAATAGCGAAACGTCAGTTAAAACAATATCGTTTTGTTTTTCATTCAGTAGGAAATACAAAAACCTTTATTATAATGAATATCACATGCCCAATGCCCAAATTTTTTTAAACTGTAAAAAGTGAACTTGGTTTGGAGATATATAAATCCATTTTATTTTCTTACTTGATGATATACTGTTTACTGCTTAACTTTAATAATCAATTTGTTTTGTACTAATAATGAAGCGTCGACATACACTTGGCTTTAAATGTCCAACCCCTGAAGCTGCTGAAGCATTATGGAAATGGGCAGTTGATCGCCAGTGCTTTTTTACGTAAGTGAAAAAAGAAACAAGCAAAAAATGTCGATGTGTTATTTTTCTTTATATCCTTCTCTGTTCTTTTGTTTTTGCCATTTGACTTATAAATGGGATACTTCTTCAAGAATTGAAAACATCTATTTTCCGATACGAATTTAAAACAAGCAATAAAGGTTAATAAAGCAGGATTTAATGAATTCATCAAATTTCGGTAGAACTCGTCAGCTGAATACTCTATATAGGCGGATATATATACTTTTGGCATTATAATACGCATAAATTACTGATTTATTATTACTAATTTCAAAAGTACACATATCTGTGTATGTAGAGTATTCAGCTGACGAGTTCTACCGAAATTTGATGAATTCATTAAATCCTGCTTTATTAACCTTTATTGCTTGTTTTTAATAAGTAAGATAGCTAGAGTAAGAGATTCATGTTGTAGATGAATGCAAAACTTATCAAAACGTAATTTAATAATTTCAGTAGTGTGAAATACTGAAGTTGTTAACAGAATTAAAATGATGAAAAGCAGGAGTTCCGACTAATTCAAACGTTTTTCGTTTAGTTTCTGTAGTATTGGTAGACGAATGATCATAGATAGTTGATTCTCAATAAAATGTGAGTAGACTGAGTTCAGTTCTTAGTTCGTTACGGTGTTACAATATTTACGTTATTCACTATTTTTATTTCTGCAAGATATTTTGTTTCGGTCACGTTATCGTTTTTGTTACAGTTATGTTGCATAAACTGTGTGAATATATTAACTGTGACAGTTATCACTGAATTACATATTTTCGATACGGATTTGTTGCAGTTACAATAAAATGCCATTCGTCAAAGTTGGTAGTCGACATGTGGCGTGTACTTCGGACAAGATTTATGAGGAGTATATAGATGCAGACTGATTAGAAGAGACCAAAAGTGAAATCAACATTTCAAGTTAATAGATACAGATTTAGAAATGTTTGTTCCTGAAATCTATATCTACTTTAAGGTTGTGGTCAGAAAGGTGTTTCATTGGAGAACTTTTCATCTCATTGTTTAACCATGCGCCAGTCGCTAAGCAATCATTAAGTTATACCATTTGCAGAACCACTGTAAAACAGGGAGTACCAGGTAGCTAGTGTGTACTAGTTTGGGATTCTACGGCAGTGGCGTTCATCAGGTCAGGTGGATATTATTGGCTGGTGATCGAGCTACGTATATCGTGAGCTGGAAAAAGTTAGCACTTATGAGACGGCCCTTGGATTCCGTCTCAATGGCTGAATGACCACTGACGTCGCCACTTAACCCGAAGGTTTTGGATTCGATTCCTGCTTTGTTTTCTCATGGCTATGTACTACCAAAGAGTTCCGGACTAGGATAAAACAACTATCCAGTACTCCTTGGTTTACAATGATTCTCTTACTGATATCAACCTGTGATCAAACTATTTAAGTGATTTCAAATCCTGAAATTCAACTATGTATTTTGGCAATTATTCTATTCGCCTACCCCAAAAGTCTCATTGAAGATAAACGGTTTAACTGAAGTTTACTGTAAATAGTACGTGGATTCTTGAACTTCAACTGAGACTCAGATGGCTTCTTCTACAGGCTATACTGCTAAATTCATGAATATTAAGCAAATCAAAACTGTGAATTGTGACAAAAAAGTAATTAGTTACATACTTCGATACTGATCATCTTATTTTTACAGACTGTTTGTTTAAAGTTATTTACAAGGTGAAAAATAACCTGCCCCAATCATCAAGTTTCCTACTGATCTGTATTACTGAAGCTGTGGCCATTAAAATAGAAAAGTCAGAAGCCATTGTTTACAGAAAATTTTTCTTCAATCACTTCTTCTTTCATGATTCGAATCCATCTGTGCTAAACTACCATCATCCTCATTTCTATTTTGGTCCTTATTTTATTCTTCTTTTGTAGCTATTCAATATTTTAAAGTCATTTTGAACGAAGAATATTCCTCTGAACAAATTCCCCTCCTCAAGTTCTTACAATTATAAAATATAATTGCATATTAATTTGTTTATTAGATATATCTCACAATGAAACAGTATTATTATTATTATTATCGCTACAATAATGATCAGTTATCCGGTAGATACATTGTTCAGTAGAATAATAGATTAGTGTTATAGGATGACAAAAAATAGTGTTTGTGTGACAGACGTGTGAAATACGAGACAATGATAATGATTAGACATGAGAGATTCACACAATATCGAGAAGGAAAACGGGCAAGTCAGTTTATGGCTGTTAAAAGCATCAGGTTAGTGACTGATACAAAATAGGAGATATTAAGACTGAAGTAAATTGTTCATCATAAAATAACCAATACTTTGAAATGAAACAGAAGATGGTGGCATTATATTAAGAAAAGACATAACTAACAATAAGTCAGAATGGTATAAATGGAAAATTTCATAGTTTTGAAAGATTGCTAGAATGAAGGGCATGAAGTATACTAAACAGTAATAAGAATAATAAATTGGAACAAATAGAGCTAAAGAAACATAAAGGATAAGAAGAGGCACTGTTGGAGAGATGAAATTTTAATCCAATTTTCTCTATCCTTCCCCTATTGTTTCGATCTATGATTGATTAACTTCACTTTGGACAATAACCAGTATCATTTCACCTGTCAATATTTGCTGTCAATTGGTGGACAGATGGTGACTAACAGTGGAATTCAGGATGTGCATTTTGTCCTATTTTGAACTCGTCCTCTGGACGTACCTGCATTCCCCAACGAGTGATGGTGTTCCCACTGAGGCTCAAACCCAGTACCTAAAATTTCAAAATTGAATTCAATAATATTTGCTGTCTTATCATAATTTTCATCTTGTGGAGTGATGTTTTAATTGCTTACTGATCTTATCATTTCTACACATCCCTCCCCCTTTGAGATCTATACATTTTCTGAAATATAAAGTACATAACCAATTATTTTTTGTCACAATTTACATTAGAATTATATATATATATATATATATATATATATATATATATTAAGAACACAGCGTTCAGTGAAGAGACTCTTTTCAACGAATTTTTTATCAAGCTGTACAGTCGTATATACATATATATATATATATATATATTTGTCTTTTGTTGGCAAAATGTTATATCCCGCGAGGAAATTTAAACAAATGTGGGAATAGATAAATCAATAAAAGTATGAGGTGCAATTGAAATGTTTATGATTGTTACCATAGTTAAATATCAAGTGTCGAGACGCAAAACAAATAATGTCATATATATATATATATATATATATATATATCAGCATTCATACGATGTATAGATATTGGAAAGAGGTGTATAATTATAAGATTAGTAGGCAAATATAAAACGTTACATAACTTGGGGTGAAACTTGACAAGATAAGAGTCAACACTGAAAAATATTTTGATTTCGAATGACAAGTGGGATAAGTGGAAACAGTTCAAATGAGAATAGTATTAATAATAATGAGAGAAACGTACAGAGATTAACTTAATAAATAAAATAAATTATAAATAATAATAACAGAAATAAATAAATGTTTTTCAGTCTACGATCAAGGCAGAAATAGGGACTGCATATACTTCTTCAGTACACAAAGGTTTGGCTTAAATTCATGAGTGGTCAAGGTATCCGCTGTTTTTACAGATACTCTTAAAATCAAGGTCAGAGTTGTTAGAGTGACAGAAGTGGATTAAGTATTCTAGAACAGAGCTTCCTTCCCATACCCTTCTTTTCTCCTTTGTGAAACCACGCTGCAATAGGTTCTCATATCCGTGTGGAAAGCGTTCTGTGGCCACGAAAAATATACCTTGCTCCACAAGAGCAGGTGAACTGATAGATGCACAGACGAGGGAGCTTATCTTTTACAGAGATGGCAAATAACTTGCGGCCGGTGAACGTCATTTGTAATTTTGGTGCAAAGAACGTCTTACTGACTGCTTTTGAGAGACGGTTTTTGAGCATATCTGAAGCTTGATCATCTTCGAATTCCAAATTAACGAATATGGCTTTCATTGGAACTGAGTCGGCGAAAAGTTTAGAATGCTTATCTCTTTTTTCTGAATAAATCTGTTCGGGTAATTGATTTAAATTTTGTATACGATTGTACGACTTGATAATGAATTCGGTGCAAAGAGCCTCTTCGCTAAATCATCTGTTTGGATTACATTAATGTGTCACTTATTATGCCACTTAATTCACACATTATCTCACGTTCTTAATATTCATAGATTTTATTTGCATTCAATAGACGATTCTAACCAACTGACTTTCACCTCATCTTATATACTCGCACACGACCGTACAGTTTCTGTTATGAAATTTTGATTTGCTTTTTACCAGCTACTGAATTCTAATATTCATTGATTTATAACTATTTATCCAGAAGAAGAAATTATTTAAAACACTCATTTGCTCAAAATTGAGTTATTTTTCTGAATCTGATGTGGAGGTATTTAAATTACTAAAACTTATAAAAGATTTGTCATGAAATTGAGTTGCTCAGGGTGAAGTATTAAGTAACCATATGATTTATTCAAACAACCATACACACAAAAAGGTAAAATAACTGGTGACATGACTCTCTAAAATGCATTCTTCATTACTGGAGGATGCCTGCCTAAAACTTACTTACTTAATCTTTATTTGGCTAGACACCAATTAGTAACTAGTTTAATGTGTCTAGTCGTTTCTTTGATGCAGACTAAATTATATCAATGGTGACGCCTCTGATTATCGCCACATTGGCTGATGCGCGTTTGAATCTCAGAAAAGACATGAGTTCCTTCAAGGCTGAAGATACGCCTTACTGACTGTTAAGGCCTGACTAACACGAAACCTAGGTCAGACAAGGCTCCCCCCCGATTGCCTTCAACCTTATCATGTCAACGCTTAATCTTTCTTCATATGTTAAGATTTATGATTTTTATCTCCACTTCATTTTAGCTTGAATCGTTCCGTTGATGCTAAAGAATCAAAGGCCAATGGAGGATTATTCAAACGTCGTCAATTTTATACTTTCACGTAAGATTTAAGTAATGCCTTTTTAAAAAATTAGAAACTGTATCGGATTTTAGTATTTTAAATAGTAAGAACGACACAGACTTTATGTTAAGTTTTTTTTTCACGAACTGAGACAATGGTATACTGCATTATTTGTAAATAAGGTAAACAGCTTATGTAAGTTGTCATTACGGCAAAATGTGTTTCTCATGTTAGGTTAACCTGAGTTTGACTAGCTAATGAACCAAAATAATAAAATTCAACTGAAGCCAGAGGATTTGTTTATTTAGGAAGTAATTAATTGCTTGCATCAACTGCATAGGTAATTTTGCGACAAAATTCTCGCCAACCCCATCCGTGGTTCAGTTCCAGACTGAGGCATTGGTAAGCCTCACTTTGTCGCTAGTAAACTTGCCGGTAAATTTACTCCAACATCACGGCTACTGAAACTTCAAAAGCTAAAACTTGAAACCTCATGATCCACCAAGAACGCAAAGCAACATAATAGTATTATTCAACCGCATTATAGGGAAAGTGTAGCGTGCTACATCATTGTGTTACGCAATCCATCTCTTCAGCAGTGAGTATTACGTGTTATTAAACAAAAGTTGCTGCATTAATATTTCATTAGGATGACATGCAAGTACAAGTGCTTGTTGAGTCAAAAGAGCTTACGTAGTTAAATTCCTGATGTTTTCGCTATATATTACGAAGTAGATAAAACTGCATAAAGACTCCGTGAGTATCACTGGGATTTTATCCGTCACACGCTCATATATTTCGTAAACATTTTACAAGCATCACTCAATATCTCCACTTTATCAGACATATGATATTTTAGCGTATTTTTGAAACAAATACTGGTCAACTGTTTTTAAGTGCATGAATATATTAATGTAACATGATATTAATATCATAAAATCATCCAGTTACTTTGAAACAAAGTGTTTAGGAACACTGAGAGAAGTTTTAAATTATAATAATAGACATAGGTCAGCAAACACTATTCGCCTGTTAATTTCCCATCAAAGCTGTGCAGTTGAGAAGTGTTCGCCAAGGTCATGGGAAGACAAATAAAGTCAGTTATTCATATCATTTGGTAACAAAACATATTATTATTATTATTATATCCTTTAATTCCTAGAGGAACATAGGGCTTCAGCCACGCGTCTCCATTGCGTTCGGTTCTCTGCCAACTTTTTCACTCCGCTCCAGATCTGCCCACATGCTTTCATCTCCTCTTCACATCACCTCCTCTAAGTCACCCTTGCAATGACGACCAACTCGCCGCTTCCCTTTCGGCTTCCACTCGAGCAATGGCTTGTCTAGTGATGCCACTTGATGGTTTCCTCAGAGTATGGCCAGCCAATCCATCTCCATTTCTTCCTGCCTATTTGTTTCACAATCGGTTCCTGTTGCGTTGGTTCGTTCATTGTCAGAGATCTCTGTTTCTGATCTATTCTGGCCAGCCATCTGATCTTGAGTATTGAGCGAAGAAAACTGTTAATGAAGGTCTGAAGTTTGTTTGAGATGCTCTTTATGACGCGCAATGCAAGTCTCTGATCCGTACAGTAATTAGCACTGATTTCACATTGGAGTTGGAAATCCGGATCTTATTCTCCACGCTGAGTGCTGTTGACCTCCACACAGACTTGAGAGAAGTGAAATCTTGTCTTGCTTTTCCGATTCTGGCTTTAATATCCTCGTCAGTTCCGCCTGTAGTTGAAACGATGCTTCCCAGGTAGGTAAAGGAGGATGTTTCTTTCAGGTTTCTCCCATTTATGCTGATTGTTGTTTGTTGTTGTTGTTGCTGTTGATGGTGTTGACCAGGAATCTTCATCACCTCTGTTTTCTCTACGTTCACTTGAAGTCCTATCTTCTCTGGATGCTTCTTCCGCCAACTTGTTGCTTTTCAATCGCATATCTTCCAGTTTGTGGGAAATCAGACATATATCATCGGCGAAATCCAGATCCTCCAAGTTTCTTGTGTGAGTCAATTTTATGCCTGTTCTTTCGTTGGTTGCCGTTGTCTGTCTCATTATCCAATCTACTGCAATCAGGAAGATCATTGGCGATAGTAGACAGACAGCCTTGTCTCACTCCCGTCCTCACTTCGAAGGTTTCCGTAAGTTTCCCGTTGTGGATTACTTGGCATACAGCATTGTCATATGACTGTTGGATGAGATGTATAATTGTCGATGGCACCCCGTAGTAGAGACGTAGTTGCCAAATCACCTCTCGATCGACGCTGTCTGTCGAAGGCCTTTTCGAAGTCGATGAAGTTGAAATAGAGACGTGACTGCCATTCCAAGCTTTGCTCAATGATGATCCGTAGTGTTGCGATTTGACCAATACATGACTTGTTTCTCCTGAATCCAGCTTGTTCCGGTGGAAGTTGTTCATTCAGGTTGGCTTGTTTGATTCTCTCCAGGATGATTCGGCTTAGTATTTTGCTTGGGATGGACAGGAGCATAATTCCGCGCCGGTTTTTGTATTGACTTAAATCTTCTTCCTTTGGTCACATGATCAGCAAAACACATTAAATAACACTATTCACCAATGAGTGCTTTTAGATGACATCAGACTACTTAACCAAGTATCTCAGTTTTACCAACTTATATTGATAATCGACCTTCATTTTTTATTGTATGAGCTTTCAGAATACTACTTAATTGTACAACTTTTTGATGACAGGTTATAAAAAGCTTATCCTTTCCCCCAACTAAGTCGTTTTGATTTCAACGATAAGGTGAGCACATAACTAATAGTGAAGCAAACGCCCACTTGACACAGGTAGAACGGAAGCGGTCATTTAAGACTTGAATTACCTCAAGTGGTTGGTCTCATCTGATTTTGTAATGCTTCCTTAAATGAATGCTACAAACATATCGGGTATTACATCTGGACATTTTAATGAATTTGTTTTATAGGGATCCTTTTTGACATAGCTGTACTGTCTAGTGTGGCGTATGCCAAACGTCGGTCGGAAACACTTAATTATAGCAATAATCCTTACCAATCAACATAGTCTAAAGCTACTTAAATGACTTCTGATAATGTGGCTTTCAAGAAAAATAGAGGTGAAGAAAATATTAAAGTCATAACATCTTGATGCATCAAATGCCTCAACTAGTGGGCGGTTGCTCTACTGACAGAAATGTCAAAAATTTAATCATGTGACTGAATCTTTACCAGTACTTTATTGCTATGACTGCTATCTGGAATGGCGATGTCAGCAGCCTGAGAAATGCAAGTATAATTCTGAGATACTGTTTATTGTGACATATTAAACTGACGAAAGCAAACACGAAAAAAATATGTTCCTACTTATCTCTGTCCACAGAGCATAAAGATGAAGTTTTGTCGGTACAAGACATTGATGAAGTGTATATTATTCAAAAGTCTCAAGTCTAATAAGAAAATTCACTATCTCACTGTATGCATAATTTAGTATTTTGTGGAAAACTTAGAGTGTGCATTACTTGGTATAGTCTATTAAACGTAAATTGTGGCTAAAATTGGAGTGTACATGGGACTGCGTTAATTGAGATTAATTAGGTTGGCTGCTTATAAATATTTAATTTCTGAAGTCTATAGTCATTCTCGTCCTTGTTTTATCCAGAGTGGTGCGTCATTTGTTGGCAAGGAATTTCTAAGTGACTGGAATGAATCCATTTAGTAAGTCATCGGACTACATCTCAGTTGGCCAATCGTTAAGTGTTTTGGGAACTATGTCCATCTGTTGACTACAAATTCATCAGTTTCAAGGCTTAATCAGGTTTGAAGCTGATGATAAAATTGATAGTCCTAAGTCATTCAATTTATAAAGAACCAAAAGGGAATTGTTATTATTCGCCTGTCTAAGTTTCCTCCCCCGTAGATCTCCCCCATATCACCATGGGACCCATGCTCACCACTTTTTTCACACTCGGGTTACACTCGAGCGATGGCCTGGTGTGTGATATCAATCAGCGGTTACCTAAGAGCATATCCAGTCCATCTCCATTTTATTTGGGACATTTGTTGGGCAATAGGTTCATGATTGATTCATTAGCAGAACTCTCTTTCTGGACATATGATCTTCAGTGTCCAGTGAAGACAGCTATTGACGAAATTCTAAAAACTGTTGGAAATGTTTCCGGTGATGCGCCATATCTCAGAACCATGTAGAACTGGCTGAGCTGACATAAGTGTTGAAAATCCGGCTTTGACATCTTCGTCCATTTGTAAGGGTGATGCCTAGATAAGTGAAGAAAGTTATCTCTTCCAAAAATTCCTCCCATTGATAGTGATTGGAGCTGTCAGTTGGTTACCTTCATCACCTCCATCTTCTTTACATTCCTTTGAAATCTCGTCTTTCCTGTTTCTTCAGCTAGTTTACTGGTTTTCGCCAGCAAATCTTCCAGTTTTTGTGATACCATACATAAATCATCTGCAAAATCCACATCTTGTAAAGTCTTCACAGTCTGACCAATGATCCAGCCCACAACAGTTAGCAATATCATAGTGGGTGATAACAGGCAGCTTTGTCTTACTGCTGTCTTCACATCAAAGGTGTAGCTGAGTTTTCCGTTTTGGATGGCCTGACGGGGAACATTGTAACATGGCTGTTCGATGAGGTTGATGGAGATTTACAGCACTGAACGTCATAGTGTTGAAGTAGTTTTGCAAATTACTTCTCGGCTAACTCTGTGGAAGGCCTTTTCGAAGTTGATGAAGGAAGTTGAGGTAGAGGTTTGACTACTACCCTTTGCTCTGTTCGATGATGATGCGTGGAGTCGCAATTTGATCGGCTCATAATTTGCTTTTTCGGAATCCATCTTGTTCAGGGCTGGCGGAGTTTTTGCACCCACAGCATCTTTTAATCTCTCCTGGATGAAATGACTTATTAATTTTGCTTGGGGTGAATAGTCCCATCAGTTTTTGTTTTCCTTTCCTCGTTACTATTACACTGTTGTTCTCATCTTCTATCACACATCAACTTTATATTTCATATCCTGTGGTGAATTGTTTGAAATGTCAACGCTACGCTTTTTTTTATTAATCTTTTATATTTTTGGCGTTGGTTTTTTTCTTTTTTCTTTAATTATTTTTTGATTTTAAAAATCTTATAAAATTTATGAGGTAATTCGATGCAATATATTGTAATGCAAGCTGAAAATACCATAACTGTACCACAAATACCGTTTGGAATAAAGCTGTTAATATTATTATTATTATTAGCATGATTCCGCTGCAGGCTTTGTAAATCCCTTTTCTCTGAGTAGTTTGAAAAATGTAAGTTTTCTTTGAATCAGTAGACACCTTTCTTTTATTTTCTTCTTCAATTTACTCTTCATTATCCCTATATTACATCACATTTTCCTTCGTTTCTATATGCATTCTAATTACAAATCATTGATTACAGTTTATAATAAATACAAAGTACTATAAAACATCATTCTGTATTGTTTATATTTGGCATCAAATAAGTAGTTATCTCATTTTTTTTGCAAATAATCCTACTATAACTGAAGTGAAGCAAACCAGACAAACAGACTTAGAAATCAGTGAGCTCATTTTAGAAGGAGAAATACACTCCTTGTCTTCCATAGTAGAGAGAAAAGCAGATATCATAATAATGATAATGCCAATCAATAGTATCCTTTTCTAGGTGATCATAGCAACGAAGAAAAAAGATGTGTATCATGCTCTCCAGGATGTATATTCTCTTTTCTACACATAAATAAGTGAATAAATACGTAATGAGAAGGAGAGACAGAGAGAGAGAGAGAGTGGGTTATGGAAAGGGAATGGTATGAAAGATGTTTTTCACAGGGATGGTAACTTTTTTAACAGTGTGTTGTTTGTTATTATTATCATTGTTACTGTTTTCAGTTTTTCTCATAAAAAAAGGGAAGCAATCTTCACCAATTTGTATTTTTCACTGTCTTATTTTATTTTTCTAATTATCAGGGGAAGATGTCAGAAAGAACTGATGCTACTGAATTCTAGTATGCCTGCTATACCACAACCTAGTGTTGCACGGTAAGTGATTTCTCTATAGAAACGAATAAAGTGCTTACTTAGATAAGTAGATATCCGCCAAGGTGTAGTTAGTTATTCAGAAGTTGAAGGAGAAAACTATAGTGAAAAAAAATTATCTCATCTCTGGCTAGATAAACCTCATGAGTCTATATTATTAGATCGATTTGCGTAGTTTTCTATTCAATGTTTATTAATTCATAAGTATGTGGAGTTCTCTTTACTGACTATGGGACTGACTGACTGACTGACTGACTGACTGACTGACTGACTGACTGTCTCGATAAGATAACCAACCAGAATAAGAATGGATCTAAGTGGAAAATCTTCCCCGCAGACATACATTTTGTGCTTTTATTCATCCTACATATTATCACTTCCATCTTGACTAAATCATATTCTTAAGAGACGGATATGTATATTTTCTATCAATAGCTGTCAAGTGAAAGACAGTCTTTAATAATAAGACGTTTGTACTGTGTAAGTTCACCTTTCTGTCTCCCTCTCCTTCCCTGTGACTAAATGTCTTCTAAAGGTCAATCATTTTACACTTTATTTCTTTTAATTGTTTATCTCACGTCAATCGACTATACTGGACCAGAATATTTAATCTCTCATGAAAGGCTGGACTCATAGTAGAGACTCTGGGGAGTAAGACGATATCATTTTTGGTAGGTGGTGATTAGAGGTGGGATCTAGAATCATGATTTCACCCTGCTTTGGACTTGTCAGCTGGATGTGTGTTCTTCGGTGTGTGCAACTACTGGAACTGGAACTAAGAACACTCTCACTCCTTAGGAGGAGAGGTGATAGCCCATCCAGCTGACGAGTCTCAAATATGATGAAATGGACCTCCCTAATTCCACTGCTAGTCAACGTCCTTCAAATGACATAATTTTCAGTTTAGACATTGTTTTGTAATTCATGTTATTCTTTTTCTTATGTTTAAAGTGCTAAACAGCATTTATAATTTAGTAATGAATACATTTAGTATCAGTTTCTTGAAGGTTGTAGACACGCCCTGTCAATAACGAGTGTCAAAGAGTATGAAGCGTAGATATAGGTCTTCCTACCTCTAGTCATCTAACATCAATTCAAAGAGTATCACGATAGTGAATCACTCGGCTTGATGACCACACTGTAAACTTGACTGACCGACAGAATTAGGTCAGCATCAAGAGAATACACTTTTGACGATAGTTATTTCCCCTGCTACTGATCAGTGGGCATTCAAAACCCTAATTTGCTCTATCACATTATGAAATGTTTCTGGTTCACTGTTAAAATATCGTTATTTTGAGATGGATTTAGTAATCTATCCAAAATAAACGTGATTACCACCAGATTTCCAAAAGCCAACTTCAAAAATGAAACTTCAAATGCGGTCCTGAGCGTAAAACGGTAGGTAAAAAGATCACAGCTTCGGTCGAATCATTTTGCCGACCGAAACTTTAGAATTGTTTATTTTATTTTAGCTGAGATTTAGACAAATATAATTTTAACGCAGATTTTGCAATAAAACAGCATCAGTTAAAGGACGTTGGAAACCGGGGCCAATGCATAGCCGCTTCGTCATGGTTTGTGATTTGTTAGCAGTGCATACCCACGACACCACAAGTAATCAAACTTAGTACCTTAAGGTTATGAGACAAAGCTGTCTGACCATTCAGACATCTGGGCTGCAATTCACTTACTCGTGAATTCTAACTTCTTCATTTCGTGATATAGCGTTAACCTTTACAAATACATTTGATGATCCTTCAATCGACCTTGACATAGTACACCCCAGTGGTCATGACTTTTGGGTACAGCTTCAGTACATCCATCTGTTAACCTTCGAAGGGCTGGAGTTTGATACTTAGATTTTGACCTTTGTGGATATTAGGATTGGTTTCATTTGGGATTTCATCAAGAGGTAACATCAGCTGGAGATTACTGAGAATCAGGAAGCACTGGAGAGCTGTTTCATCCTGTCTTAAATACAGTTTCCACTTCCGTCCACATTGTACCTGGTATCTCATGTTATCTGTGAAAATATTCAGTCAAATTTAGATCAGAGTTTCTGTAATTGGACAAGATTATTCCTATCCTAAAGTTAAACTGAATAACAATAAAATTAAGAAAGCAAACTGTGAATGTTCATACACTTCTTCCCCTTTATGCATTTGTATAAAGGAAGAACAACAGTTTGTGCAGAATAAAATAGTACTAACATTTAGTTTTTTATCTTCCCGCCTACTCGGATTATTCAAAGGGGCACCTACAAATATCGAATTCACTATGGGACATGAAAATGATGGAAAGTTTCATTTCCTTGACATTGCGACGTAACGCCCGGAAGATGGTAGTCTTCAGAAGTCAGTTTACAGAAATCCAACATGGAAGAGCAATATTTGCAATACTTTTAATATATTTTGTCCAAATAGCTTTAGATGAGCACTAGTCAAGACTTTGTTCTACAGAGCTAGGAGAATATGCGCTATAGAGACATTAGAACAAGAATTTCTGATTCTTGATTACCCTCAGAGATTCATTTACAAATATAGGAGATGTGTAGGCTCAAACGTCACAAAAACCACTGCAGGGGAATAGCCTGTTTTCATTCAACTCGATTTTAAAGGTGAAAATATAGCAACAGTAGTCAGAAGAAGATTGATTACGTCATTAGCCAGAGCTTATCCTGCAGCTAAGTTGGTTTGCATCCATGGGAAAACATGCTCTCTGGTAAAATCAAAAGTTGACAGGAACTCTTCTCATGTTAACTGCAACTGTGTATACAAATTTATGTGTATCTGCGAGAGCAGTCACATTGCGCGAGGAGAAAGAAGGCCACACCTCAGATTGTAGGAACATGTACCGAAAAGCCTACATTTCTAGGGAACAAATACTTTCAGCAATGCCATAGCCGGGCATTTTTTTAAATACGGGTCATGTGGTGGACGTCGCAAGGTTGTTCAAAATTACCAATAGGCAAAAGAATTCACTTCTCCCTTTTTTGATTGCGTAACGCCAGAGGATTCCATTGTGTATGATTATTATTGTTTGGGATAAGGTGATTATTATTATGACTGTGTGCATAGATTGATTTTTGTTTAAAAATGAACTGTCTGTGTAGCACGTTAAAATCTTTTCTCTACATAAACCTAATAATGTCTTTAGATTGTAAGGATCTGATAACAAGCCAATGAAATAAATAATGGTGCCATTTTATTCTGCACAAACTGCTGTTCTTACTTTATTCAAACTGTGGATGCTTTGAACTAGTTATTGATAACTAAAAGTTTTATAAAATCTGTAGTGGTAATCACTGATTCTCAGTGAAATCAAATTTTAATTCATCATTGTTTTTTACAATAATGATTTCAACAGAGAATATTTTCAACCTTATTATATATATATATTATTCAACCTTTACATAGATCTATATGCATTTCACTTTTCTAAACTGTACTTATACACACACACACACACAAACACATAAAAATGTACATATACTAGACCAAAAATTGGCTATTTCGATAAAGATAAATAATCACACATATTGATTTTTATGAATAAGGCTCATTTAACAATTCCTCTGTAATAAACAGTTTTTATATTGATGCATCTTTTATGCGAGACCACACCCAAGAATTGAATGCTTTAATCTATTCCCAATTTTCATAGGATTAATAATTATACTTATAACTACAATAACACAAAAGTTTTTGTAGAGTTTATCATCGTTTCTATGATGTTTGTTGCCTAGTTGTTTCTTCTAATTTTTGTTTTTCAAAGGGAATATAATGGCGTTCACATTTATGTATATACACTGATATACAATTAGTGATAAGATAATTTAGCTGTATGAACAATCAAAGCAATCTACTGGTGATGACTAGCAACCAGCCAGCCACAAAGAGGATTACAAGAGAAACTAACAAATCAGACAATCTATGCTCTTCTTCTCTAAATGAGAAAAACTGTTTTGTCTATCATGAAGTCATGTTTTCGAAGTTGGGCCTCATCCACCTGAATATGTGCACAGATACCAAAAGGTTGCTACAGTTATATATATATATATATATATATATATATATATATATATGTAAGGAGACAAAGAGAGGGAATATTTGCCGTTATACGGGTTCGATTTATTTTCAATGTAGATTTCATTACGGACCAACATCGCTTAGAGATCACTGAGTACCAAGACAGTTATTTTGTCCATTCGAGGAACCAAGACCCTGCAGGGGATAAAAACACCAAGAGCTTCAGGTCAAGATCAAGCTGCCAAGTGCTTCTCCGTTTACAGTGATCTCTCATTGATGTTAGTTCGTGACCTATTCTACATTGAAATCAGTCCAAATCCATACGAAAATGTATTATGTAAATATTAGTATCCAGCTAACTGGTGGCTACTGGGTAGATATCCTCAGACTATACGGTGAAGTGACCAGTACGGTCCAAAATATCAAGTCGAAGTATATACTTATCAGCGGCATTAGTTAAGGATAGCGCAATATCGCGATTCAACAAAGTTAAAACTCTTGAGTCATTGAATTTCAGCCCATGTATCTGAATTGACCCCCCGACGAAATCAGAAGTCCTGAATGTCATCAAGATGCTAAAAGCTGGGAAAGCACCAGGACCAGATGGAATCCCAGCAGAAGCTTTGAAAATAGACCCAGAGACAACAGCGGACTTGATGACGCCACTGCTGGAGAAGGTGTGGAAAGAGGGCAAAGTACGCGAGGATTGGAAGAAAGGATACTTATTCAAACTACCAAAGAAAGGAGACATCAGTCAATATAAAAACCGGCGCGGAATTATGCTTCTGTCCATCCCAAGCAAAATACTAAACCGAATCATCCTGGAGAGAATCAAACAAGCCAACCTGAATGAACAACTTCCACCGGAACAAGCTGGATTCAGGAGAAACAAGTCATGTATTGGTCAAATCGCAACACTACGGATCATCACTGAACAAAGCTTGGAATGGCAGTCACGTCTCTATTTCAACTTCATCGACTTCGAAAAGGCCTTCGACAGACAGCGTCGATCGAGAGGTGATTTGGCAACTACGTCTCTACTACGGGGTGCCATCGACAATTATACATCTCATCCAACAGTCATATGACAATGCTGTATGCCAAGTAATCCACAACGGGAAACTTACGGAAACCTTCGAAGTGAGGACGGGAGTGAGACAAGGCTGTCTGTCTACTATCGCCAATGATCTTCCTGATTGCAGTAGATTGGATAATGAGACAGACAACGGCAACCAACGAAAGAACAGGCATAAAATTGACTCACACAAGAAACTTGGAGGATCTGGATTTCGCCGATGATATATGTCTGATTTCCCACAAACTGGAAGATATGCGATTGAAAAGCAACAAGTTGGCGGAAGAAGCATCCAGAGAAGATAGGACTTCAAGTGAACGTAGAGAAAACAGAGGTGATGAAGATTCCTGGTCAACACCATCAACAGCAACAACAACAACAAACAACAATCAGCATAAATGGGAGAAACCTGAAAGAAACATCCTCCTTTACCTACCTGGGAAGCATCGTTTCAACTACAGGCGGAACTGACGAGGATATTAAAGCCAGAATCGGAAAAGCAAGACAAGATTTCACTTCTCTCAAGTCTGTGTGGAGGTCAACAGCACTCAGCGTGGAGAATAAGATCCGGATTTCCAACTCCAATGTGAAATCAGTGCTAATTACTGTACGGATCAGAGACTTGCATTGCGCGTCATAAAGAGCATCTCAAACAAACTTCAGACCTTCATTAACAGTTTTCTTCGCTCAATACTCAAGATCAGATGGCTGGCCAGAATAGATCAGAAACAGAGATCTCTGACAATGAACGAACCAACGCAACAGGAACCGATTGTGAAACCAATAGGCAGGAAGAAATGGAGATGGATTGGCTGGCCATACTCTGAGGAAACCATCAAGTGGCATCACTAGACAAGCCATTGCTCGAGTGGAAGCCGAAAGGGAAGCGGCGAGTTGGTCGTCATTGCAAGGGTGACTTAGAGGAGGTGATGTGAAGAGGAGATGAAAGCATGTGGGCAGACCTGGAGCGGAGTGAAAAAGTTGGCAGAGAACCGAACGCAATGGAGACGCGTGGCTGAATCCCTATGTTCCTCTAGGAACTAAAGGATACAATAATAATTATAATAATCTGAATGGTCAACGGGCTTGGTGTCGTAATCTGCAGTTCCCGGGTTCGATCGCTGTTGGAGTCATAGGTGTGCACTGATGAAGTGTCGTACTTAGGACGAGACGGCTGTCTAGTACTCTCTTGTCCTAAACGGTTCTCTAGCTGAAGTGATTTCAGGATCAACTTCGAAATCCCCCCAGTGTTCCAAACCATCACTTAAACAGTTATTCTCTGGAAAGTATTATCATATAATTATAGAATCTTTGAGGTTTATTGAAGAAGCTTCTTCATTGGTTATTGTCTTGATTATATCAATGTTATTCGACTTTCTGAGGCTAATTAGCCAGAACTTGAATGATGAAATCATCTAGTTCGAGGATAACTAGACACTTCGTGGCCTCATCTTATAATTATGTTATTAAAAATAAAATTAAAAATTATTTTTTTATTACAGCTTGATTCCACACTGTTTTTGGTACAAGTATGGCATTTTCACCATGTGATATCGGTAGCCCAAATTTTGCAGGCCGACCATAGATATCAGGTGTGCATCGGCAGAGTATCGAACTCCGGACCATGTGCATGATCGGCGAGAGTTCTAACCCTTTTAGTTGGTTCCGAGTGGAACATTATTTTCAGAAGCACATTTCCATTGTATTTTGTTTAGCTGGCTGGCTGGTCTTCCATAAGCTTCCATCCTTCAACGCACGACTAATCATTTCCCATTCCAGTTCTACTACTGGGCGTTCCTGGGGAGTGATCTCACTCAGTGGTCTCATAAACCAGTGTCCAGTTTATCTTCCTTTCTTTCGGCATATTAATTGGGGGATAAGTTCTTAGCTAGTTCATTGGCGCATCTCAGTCTAAGCAAAATTGTTTCCTGAGCATCTCAATTAAAGTTCTTTCCATACATTGCAATTCATTGATTCATTCATATTTCACAATGTATTATCTACTTGTGATTCTATCTGAAATCGTAAATGTCTTCACTTTTCTTTTTCTTTTTTCGTTTACAGCAGTCGAAGTCTGCTTAATTTAGCAAAGTAAGTTTACCTTTGATATGGAATTTCCTTTTTACATTGGCTTAATTTTTGTAAAAGTCTTCAATACCTATCCTTCTAGATGTTGAGATAGCAGTGGATTGTGTTAGTTTATAAATTTGCCTAGATATGCTCAGGTAATCGTGGGTGAATTATGAGAACGTTCAGCAGCCTCATTAAGCTACTTATATCCATCATCGTCCTAAATTCTCCATCAAATGCAATGAAAGTAATGATATGTATCCACTGTTTAGTTTCATACATCATAGTGAACCTGTGTGAGCAAAACGTCCGTCTGATATGAAGGCAGACATTATAGATGAACACTGATTACGTGGAGGATTTAATCATGAGCTAACATCAGTTAGAGAACCACTGGAAAATCTGGGAGTACTTGACAGCTGTTTCGTTCTAGTTTGGGACTCTTCAGCAGACGAAACAGCTGTCCAGTACTCCCAGATTTTCCAGTGGTTCTCTAACTGATGTCAGCTCATGATTAAATCCTTCATGCAATCAAACAAAATCCCTACAAAACCAATACTTGAGAACACTGATTAATCCGTTACTTTTATGACAGTTTCGAGGAATACAGGTTTTTGTGCTAGTGAATATATCACTGTGTTCGGTAATATCAAGTAGTTAAGATGAATTATTTTTTTGTGAGCATTAGGGTAAGTGATTCCTGACAAATCTCAGTTCTATGCTGCTTAAAAACTACTTTTTCGGTTCTAAACTCAGTTGATTTTTGTCTCTGTAGGTACCCATGAAGTAGGTGAGAAAGTCTTTCACACATTAAGGTGAAGTAAAAATGACTCCTTAAAGAAGGCAAAATAGAGAAAGTGTAGAGGAAAAAAGACCGATGAGGCTCGGAGACGGTGTTCATTAAGGGGGAACGGATTGTACATACATAAATTTGGTCCCAGTGGCTTAATGGTATAAGAGCTCGCCTTGTGACCGGAAGGTCCTGGGTTCAAACCCCAGTGAGTGCTTACTGCTGAAGAGTCCCAAACTAGGATGAAACGGCAGCTGTCCAGTACTCCCAGGTTTTCCAATGGTTCTCTAACCAATGTCAGCTCATGATGAAATCCTGTAACTTTTAAACCTTTATTTGCACAACATTTGCGAATCGGCTGAATATCACCACATTCAATAGCTTGTTGGATTCTGCACAGTACTGTAGTGTTCTTCTCACGGTCCTCTTCTTCGATTGCTTTCTCCAATGCTCGGAACATAGTTTTATTTTTCTTAATTCATTTACTGATATACTACTTATATCTGACTATAAGTAGCACTTGCTACAATAGTTAGATACGAGAAATTTAGTCCAGCAAAATAAATCGATATCAAAATGCTTTATATTAAAGGATCAAAATATTGGACTTTCAACGGTGAATTAAATGCAGGTTAAACCCACTCAAGAGAGAGCATGGCGTGTGATTTCACTTGATGATTGATTTTCTTTGGGTGTGGCCAATCCACCCCCCTATTTATTCGTGCAAATCTGTTGCACAGTTGGCTGCTGCTAGGTTGGTTCGCTGATTGCTAGAGACCACTGTTGCTGAACACTTCCGCTCAGCTATTTGATTTTGATTAGTATTGAGCGAAGACAGATGTTGATGGAGGTCTGCAGTTTGTTCGAAGTGTCCTTTCTGACGCGGCACCAACTCACTGATTTCCCAGTGGAGTTGAAAATCCGGATTTTATTTTTTATGCTGAGTGTTGTTGATCTTCGCACGGACTTGAGAATAATGAAAGGTTGCTATGATTTCCCATTCCTTGCTCTGATATCCTTGTCAGTTCTGCCTGCAGTTGAAACAATGCTTCTCAGATAGGTAGGTAGCTAGATGAAGGAGGTTGCTTCTTTCAGATTTCTTCCATTTATGCTGATTTTTGTCTGTTGTTGTTGCTGGTGCTGTTGGCCAAGAATCCTCATCACCTACAGCTGTTTTCTCTATGTTCGACTGGAGGCCTATCTTTGATGCTTCTTCATCGCCAACTTGTTGCTTTTCACTTGCATGCCACACTGTCAAAGGAATTTATAGTTATGACCGTAGTAGTAATTTTTTACTAGCTCAGTAGGTGAATATTATAATTATTTTAAATGCTCTTAGGAATTTAGAATTAGTAATAAGAATTACATATCCATCAGTCTGTACCGTTTAGAAGACGTCTGAAAAGAATTTATGTGATGTTTGACAAAAAGCTTGAATACTGTCAAGCAACTGACTTCATATTACACATACCAGACAGACATGCTTTAATTCTGAGGGTAAATTAATTTTTTTTAATATTTTTGTATTGTGCTTTCGAAAAACAGAATGACAATCTATATTTCACATTCCCTCACACTATTCTGATTGCTTTTATCATTTACTTCTTTTTATTTAGAAGCGTTCAAAGTCAAAGACATTCACAAAGTCAAAATGATTTGGATCGTAAATATGTGGATAGTAATGATAATTTACAAGATAGTACGGGAATAGGTCGTTTAATCAAGGGTTTGGATCATCATCAAAGTTCTTGTAAGTTGATCAAAAGGAATAATACTTGCTCTAAGAATAATATCCTCTATAAACGTTAACGTTACTTATTTATTTATATTTAGAATCAACTGACAATTATTCAGGTTTGCAAGTGTTAGTGTAAACTACATACACTACTGTGCGATTATTATCATCCCTTTAGATTTCGAGAGGAACACAGGGATTTCAACATCAGATCTGCATTTCATTCTGTCGTTTGTAATCATTTTAGCTGACTACGCTATTAACCGTAATCCTTCACTTTCTCCTCATATAATCACCTCTACGTCGTGTTTCTTAGCCGTGCAGAAAAAAAGCACTGTTGATAATCCGCGTCTAGTTCCTTGTACTCAGTGAGGTAGCTTTTCACACTGATCTCCGAATAGTGAAAGTCCATCTTGCTTTTCCAGTCCTGTCTGCCTTCGATATCCCTATCTTTTCTGCCTGTATAAACATCATAAATGTATAAGAATTCTTTAGTTATGCTTTTTGCATAGTCGGCAATCTATTTGTCGAAGTGTTAGCAGTCGCTACAAATCTTTAAAAAACATGTATGTTGGCCTGTATTAAACTTTTGAGTGTACATAGAATTTCTTAGGACATAAGTCGAGTCAACTATTAAATGAGACGAATATTAGAAAACTGTGTGTGTGTGTGTATGATAAGAGGTTGCATGTGTCCCTTGGTCATAGTAATGTCCTTTTTCATTTAATCGGTTAAATTTACTTCATTTTAACACCATCTAATCTTCTATAGTTTGGTTTGTAAGGGTTAGTTATGTTTTTTACGAGTTGATCACGGATTGATATCAGTTAGAAAACCATTGAAAACCAGCGAGTACTGGATAGCTGCTGTTTCATCCTAGTCTGGGAATCATCTAATCTACTTCGAAACTCTTGATTATTATTTTACATTTATTGTTCCCTTGGATTCCTACAGCGCATCTCCACCTTGTTCCAGCTTCTGCTGTCCTCTTTAGCCAGGCCCAAGATCGCAAATAGTTTCTCATCTTCTCCTTCCTACATGATCTCTTCCACGTCACTCTGAGACGACCCACTCATCGCTCCCTATTCGTATTCCAATAGAGAGCATAGCGCGCGATGTCATTCGACTGTATCCTCAGTGTGTGCCCTATCCACCTCAATTTTTTTATACATATTTGCTGTGATTTAGGCTCCTGATTAAGTTTTTGCCAGCCATAGTTCATTGTTGTTAATTTCTTCTGACTATTTGATCTTCAATACAGAATGAAGACAGTTGTTGATAAAAGTCTGCAATCTATTGGAAATGCTTTTGCAAAGCTCGTAATACTTGTTTGTTAATTTATTTATTAGTCTTCTAAAGTTTCATAGTTCATCTAAACCAAATTAATTACTTTTATTCTTATCATATGCATATACATATACTGGCTGAGAAAATTTTAGCGGCATTTATCACCTGTCTGCCTAACATAAATACGACTGTAAATCATGATAATGAAGTCGTTGAGAAGAAACATCTGTACATGCTTAACTTGTATGTGTTTTTCTTTATTTCTGAAGTTTAGTTATTTGAAAAACTAAAATAACTTGATCTTTTAATGTAAATGAACTCAAATGAAATTGGAACTATGTAACTTCATCACAATTAACTTTTTATAGTTAGTTGTATTTTTTGTGAACTCAGTTAATTTCATAAGAGGATATCTATCCAGAAGATACTTAATAGTACAATTTGGTCACATATTTACTTGTCAAGTTAGTTAACATATGAAATTTGAAGTACCATTTAAAATAAACAAACTGATATGAGATTGAAGATAATGAAGGATAATAATAAACACTAATTTTAGTAATACAATCAGATAAGGACTACCAAGGTAGATTAAGATTAAAAACAATTTATTTTGTCTCCAAGATTTTGTTTTTAGGGATCTGATTTGTTTCAACTTCGAAGAACACGGGTTGATATCAGTTGGAGAACCACTGAAAACCACCAGAGGGTAAGGGACAGATATTTCATCCAAGTTTTGTGATCATCGACGCTACTCACTCACCAATGAGGTTCCAACCTGTGAGCTTCCGGTTACTAGGCAAGCTCGTAGACCATTCACCTGCTGAGAACCGACTCAATGGACAGTCCGCGAATTCTAACTTCTACGAATTTGATTTCATCACAACCACCAGCCAATGCCATCAGTGGGCATTTGACCTCACTATCAACCCGGTGGGCCCTACTGGTCATGACTTCTTACTAGAAGTTTGGGCAATTTCATTCTGCGGACAGTTACTAGCGAGCATCATGGGTTTATTTGTTTGTTTGTTTTATTTATACGTCCTCAGTGGTAACGCTGAATGACTACACGTCAAAGTGAATTGCATGAAATCAATTCATTTGTTGAAAAGCTTTACATTCTTATTGAAGAAGTATCTCTGAGTAGTTTGCTTCATGGTGCAGCAGTGGAAGAGAAGAAATTGTTAACCATTCTGCCACTAGAATCAGAATCCAATGGTCGATGAATTCTAATTCCGACAAACAACTGGTGATACGCAGTACCAAAACCAGACAGGGGTTGAATGGCTGACTGGCTCACTATATAAGCTGAAAGTCCTGGATTTTGTCCTAATAGGAGATGAAAGAAGGTTCCCTCTGGTTAATAGCGTGATCAAGTAATGGTTGCACCAAGTGGAGTGACATCAGAATTCAGGTCAACTTCTCATACTATGTACCGCTGCGCATAGGTAATAAACTGTCATTCATATGCAAAATGTAAATTACATCTTCATATTTAAATTCTCTGGAAATAATTCAAAGCGATGCACAGATCTGCGTTATTTCACTTCTGCTATATGTCAGTTTACTTATGCATTAAATGTTATTAACATAACGATTTTAGTGATATGGCTGGAAACCAATCTGATTGGTACAGATGCATTCATTCATTGTGGTCTCCTAGAATCATTGTCTCCTCATGTTTGCATTCTTTCTCGCACACAGTTTCACTCATCATAGTTCTTCCGAATCGTTGTTTTTCCTTCTTTTCACTACCTTTCTGGAGTATGTCAGCATGAACTTCTGCACTTCTTTGCTAAAAGTTGTCGACTTCTACGATGTTAAAAAAAGTGCGGCAATTTACGAAATTTCATACTTCCATGTACTACTTTTTGTTTATTCCTTTGCTTTCCAGTTTGAACACAGAGCTTCAAGCTGGAGCTTTGAAGTCTTGGTAGCAGTGGATTTATTTTTTCACGGTGTATGATTGCTAACCTTATGCTTAACCTTCCCTCTTTGATGGCTTTACAACCGCCTGGGAGACGTAAAGGTGTGAATCAGCCTGGAATCGAATCATGTACCATATGCATGTTTGGTGAGCATTCTACCGCTGTACCACTGACACACCGTTTACTGATACTAATACTACTATTATATTCTGATACTATTTGAAATAATAGTAATAATTACTAGGGTTTTAAACAGTATCAAGTCGCATTAAGTGCAGAAAAAAGGCAGATGGAGAGAAAAAAACTATCTACTTGTTACTGTCCGAGACTCAAAAGATGATATGGCTCAAAATCATTAAATGGAAGTTAGTGAGATTCCAGTTTCGATATAAATCGAATGCATTTGTTTTATTTTCGAGCCATGTCACTTATACTAAGAGTGTATACAATGGAAACTATACTGTAAATTATCTTTTTTTCATAAAATGCAAAAATTCATCTCCTGGAGTCTTCAGTAATTTCGCTTAAAAGACAATCAAATCATTAACATGAATGTAATTCTTCCCTACCTGAATACCTACTGTGATGTAGGGCCTAGGTGGTGATTGAAGGAGTGATGTTATAGCATACTGCCAAAATATACCAGTTTGAAATGTGCGTCAAGAGAATGTGAGCAAAAACCATAAAGATGCCAATATGTCTAGTTCTAGAGTCCTATGACTATCAAACAACAAACATTTACTGTCATAGACTAGCAAGAATTTTTTCACTAAAACTAATGAATTCAGGACTACGTTTTGTCATTATTCGACTAAAGAGTGTAACGTATGAGTATTTTTCTGTTTACGTATACCATGTTTGTGTATTAAAGTATATTAGGTTACTTTTCCGAATGTTGCTTATTTCACTGTTATTGCTGAATAAATGTTATAATATATGTAAGGCAAATGTTTAAACTGTACTTTTCGCTTTGCCTAAATATCTGTTGAAATCTAGAGCTGATTTATTAGCATGAAAAATAGGAAAGTTACTTGAGTTCTTTTCCGATATTAATCACTTTCTGTGAGAACTGAACTTAGCACAAACTTCACACAAACTCCAAAATCAGCAGGCTAAAAAGATCGACAAGTCGGTTGAAGAGTCAGCTAGTGATGACAAGACTTCAATTAAACACAGAGAAGACAGGTGACGCTAATATCTGATGACCAACAACAAGCACTAATGACTGTCGGGCAGAGAAATTTCAAGGAGGTTGTCTCTTCTACTCTTCCTAGGCATTGTTTCAACTACAAGCAGCATGGATGAAGGCATCAAAACTAGACTGGTTTGGAAAGCACGATTACGCTGGAATCAGTTTTTAAATATGCTGTGCTGAAAATAAGGAACAGGATTTAGATTTTCAAAACCGACGTCAGTCAAATCAGTGCCTGTACATAGTTCCGAGACTTGGAAAGATTAAATAACCATCCAGAAAGGATTATCAGTAAGGGACTGTGATAACGAGCAAACCAAGAGATCATCGCTCAGTAAAATGTGAAGAAGGAAATGGAGATGGATTGTACACACTCTGAGGAGATCACTAAGTGACACCTGGTGCTAGGCGGAAACCTGAACGCAGGTAAACGATGAGTTTGGCTTGGATCCAAATGTGACATGGAAAAGAACGCATACTGAAGAGATAAAAGCTTATGGGTTATAGTGGAGTCAGCTAGAAAAGAATTCAGAGAACAGAGTGAAGTGAAGGTGTTTTATTGAAGCCTTATATTTCCTTCTTAACCAAACAGGATAATTATAGTCACTTAAACAAGTAATTTTAATCATGTAACATAAAAAATAGAAGTGGCTTTCCGTTTAAGAAAGTATGAATGAATTCTAACATTTAAAATGATAATTAATTCTTGCCTTTATGTTTACATGTAAATAACCACAACATTCTTGTACTGTTTCGTATAAAATAAAATAAAACTAAAAGTAAGAAGTAAGGGACAGAATTAAGTTGCATAAATTAAATAATAAGTGTAACTATGACAGCCGAATAAATTAATTTGTCGAGAAGCTAATAGTAAAATATTTTACTTCACTCGTTGACTGATTGAAACGAAGTGCTCGACCTCTGGCTGACATCTTGACACCTTGTGCAGATGCTTCGATGATGTCTGATTACTTAACTTGAAGTAAATTGGTGGATGGTGATTAGCAGTGGAACGCAGAAAACTCATTTTGTCCTTTTCGGGACTCATCACCAAGACATACCTTCAAATTCCAGTGGGTGACAGTGTTCCCACTGGGTCTCCAACCCAGTAATCATCGTTTCGAAGGCCAAAGAGTTATTCTTCAGACTAGTTAGACCAAGAGAACCATCATAAACCAGTTTGATTTGAGTTTAATAGTCAGACATCATCGAAGCATCTGCACAAAGAGCCGACATGTCAACCTGAGATCAAGTACTTCGTTCCAATCAATCAACAGGAAAGTCAAGTTAAATTAAGTAATTACTGATATCCGTTACACAAGAGGTGACAGTGGTGGCTCAAGTGGTCTAGTAGATTACTCTTTGGCATTTGAAAGGCGCGTACTGGGTTGGATACTCATTTGGAACACTCTCTGGGGAATGCAGTTACATCTATTTGATAAGTTCCGAATGGGACGAAATACGCATTCTAGACTCCACTGTTAGTCACCATACACTGATTCACTTCAAGTATGCTGATACTTTAAAAAAGGCTATCATTGTCATCTCTCCTCATTATCTGAGGATAAGGCAGTCTATCAATACTTTATACGTATCCGCGTTATTGGGCTACAAGTATTATAGCATAAACCACTGTTTGGATGGGTGACTTTATAACTAGGTCATTCATGGAACAACTCAGTCGTTGTATGAACTGTCCATATACTTTGGTTTGTCATAAATATACGGCTTGATCATATTTTAACTGTTAATAATATTCATTCCACTTTCTAAAGTATTACAAATGATATACATTTCCATCAAAACGTAGGTGATAATTAAAGCAAGTTGGTTTGTTAAATCGTTACTTCTTTGATGTATAATCAATTCTTTGTATTCAGGCTTCTTTCGTATCTTTGCGATGCGACAGAAACAGAGGGTTTCAAACATAAGGTTTGAAGTTTAAGTAGTGGCAATTTCAGTTTCATCAGGTGGAACTAAATAGCCTCACACTCAGCCTTCTTCCCTCTTCACCTATGTGACCATTGGCTAAAAGCAAGGTTTAGCAGCACGTCGGAATCGAAATCCGAACCACAGGAGTGGCTCGCAAGTGTTCTGCTACAGAACTATTGACGTACAATATATTCTAGCACACCTTTTCTATTATTTCTGGTGTACACAGCTATTTTGATTTTGGTTCAGACCCGTCTCCAATACACAATCTGAAAATAACATGTGCATTTATGTACAAGTATTTCTGTTCGTAACACAATGACACAATATAAGCATTCGAAGATATATATATATATATATATATATATATATATATATATATATATATATATATATATATATATATATATATATATATATATATATATATATATATATATATTGTTAAACGCAGTGAACAATAAACATGTTACATTTTATTTATGCTTTCGTGCAAATATTCATACATATGTCATTTCACTTTCTCATACTTTATTTTCAGTGGAAACACGCAGAAACGGGTCAGGTTTAGATCAAATGGATGACAATCTCTTTATGAACAAACGATTGACTGATCAGTTAGGTGGTATGCGACAACAACCAACACAAAAGCTACAAGATCAACCGCAAAAATCACAACAGGATAACAAAAACAGTTTATCTACACCGAATTTAGCAACTATTCCAAGCAGTGATAATAATAATAATGAAAGTATCAATACGAATACTCAGGGATCACCGACTGCTGGTGTTGACACATTGTCAGACGGAAGGAAACGCATGAGCCAACCGCAAGGCGAAGAAGAAAAGCCAGTAAAAAATACAAGTGAGGCTGGTAAAAGTGGCCTGGCAACAGCTGAACAAAGGACAGATTCTGTATTAGATTCAAAAATGCGAAAAGTAGGCGTAAACGTAAAAGGTCTTGAGGTAAGCAGTAAAAGCGATTTTAACAATCGTCAGATTGATGAGGGGAATGTTATTGATTCACTTAGTTCAGGCGTAGAAGGAAATGCTGAAGCTACAGAACAGCCAATTCAAGCAGGTAATAATTCAGCCAACTGTGGTGATGGTGATCACGCTGGTTCTATTAATACCTTATCCTCGTCCCCACTGAAGTCAGCTGATGAAGATGACGATGTAGTGAATGAAGAGCTCATCACAGCTGATGTAAAACCAAATACCGATTCAGATGTATATCAGAAAATTAAAGTTGGAAACTGGCTTGGAGCTAATGGGGTTAAATCTTTTGAAGATGTACAAATGAAGCCTTCCTTAAGTGCAGAAGATTACCATCAAAAAACAGACAATCATAGTGTGAGTAAAATGGATGAAAAGTTAAACACAATAAATACTAGAGCTTCGCATATTGAATGTAATCCAACACCAAGGGTAAATAAACTTTCTAAGGAACCTTTGAAGGACTATTCATATACTGATATGTCAACGACAGCACACCCTGTAAATTCATCTCTGAAACGTGTTGAAGCAGTTAGCGAAACAAATAAATATCAACAGGTGATAAAACCGCCTGATAATTCCGCTACACCAAATGATAAAATAAACAAACTACCCAAAAAGACTAGGAAAGAATTCAGTCCCGTTACTGTAAACACACAAGGTTCAGATAACAGACATTCAGTAAAATACATTAGTGATCCTTCTCCGCCAACTGAATTTGATGACAGTAAAAATAAACCAAATCCCTTACAAACGTCTACTGTGAGCCGATCAAAATCACAGTATTTCAACGGGACTACATCAACAGATAGTAAATATAGTAGCAGTAAGAGTAAAGTAAACTCACCAGCACTGATAAGTAAACCTGAAATTTCATCAAGCAGTCGTACTTCCGGTATAGTCACATCAAAATCTGACCTATACTTTCCTTACGCACGTAATATCTCCACTACAAATGTTCCCATGAGTGATAGGACTCTTCAGTCATCAGTCGATGTGTCTATAAATTACCAGTATGCCAACTTACCAATTTCGTCTATGAAAGTTTATTCGGAATCACGTAACGACATTATTTATCCTAAATTACCAAATTCAGAGTTATTACCGTCAAAACAAACACAAAGACTTCGAGTTAATACAGGCGATTCCAATGATCAACTTTCAACAACAGAGAGTCGAAGAACTTTATACAGTTCAAGGAATTCGACAACAACAAAAGACTTATCACCTCAACCTAGAGATTGGTATCAGACCACTTCTTTCAGTACTAATGAAAATGACAGAAACTATGAAGGTTGTACAAGTATAGCCCCTGACATAAGCAATATAATCCTGGATCCTATAGATGACGAACAGCCCAAATTTTCTTCAAGTAGAGTAAATACTATGGATACTGGAAATGGGAGTACAAGTAGGCGTAGTCTATCAAGTGATATGAATAATAAACTAACAAACGGTTTACTGTTTGAGAATGGATATCGTCCATTGAATTATGATCAAACGCCTAGTAAAATTGACAGTACGTATTTTACTACTCACATGAATGCCAGTAGTAGTTATATCAACTTACCAAATAGTATGCTAGAGCAAACTACTAATTGTCGTGATTTAATTTATCCATCGGATTCATCATCAATGGCAAAAGCAACAAAGTTAATTAACGCAAGTCAACCATTTTTTTCATCAACAAGTACAGATATATTCATTTCAAAATCGCAACCAAATATTGTAAAATCTAAATCTTCAACCGTTCAGTTTGGTGGAAGTAATAATGTTTATGATTTGAAACCAATATCAAATTCACTAGCCTCGATAACACAATCATCAAATGAAGGCAGTAATTCGCGTCTACTCGGTTCAACATCATATTTAAGTCAACAGAATATAAACAATAAGAAACAAGAAGTTTCCAATGCAAACAATGATAATAATAATAATAGTAATAACAGTAATAATATTCAAAATTCTAATAGAAATGAAAGAACAGCTGGTAGTTCTGCTGCTCATTTAGCTGCTATGGGCGTCGGTGCCTATAAATTAGGCGATTCACTGGCTTTACTAACAACTAGAGCAGATCACTTGATTGGACCGAATATGAGTAACACTACAAACAATGAATATTCGGATAGTACTGTAAATCGATCAAACGTGAAATCAGTTTCATTTAATACTGCTAATAATAATATGAAAAATCAGGTGAGACTTCAGTATATTTCTTCTTTTTTAGTTAGTTTCCTTTTTGAAAATAAACATTTATATCTAATGAATAATAAGAATTTTTATATAGTAGATGGTGTGTGACAGTGGAATCCAGTAAAGATGAGCATTTCGCCAAGTTTGGGAACTGCTCACTGTTGTTTCCACTAGGACTGGAATACAGCCCCCATGATTCCAAACTTAAAAGTAAACACATCCTGCTGAAGAGTTTGGGATTTCCTTAGTAGTTACCATCTACTAAATAACCTCAAATGAATCTTCATCCATCATCGAAGCATCCATGCTAGCAGCCGAAATGTACACAGAGATGGATATTTTAGTCTAATGTAAACAATCAAGAAAAGAGAAGAAGTTCAGCAAAGATATCTTTTCAATTATTTCTTTCTCAAGAGATGTTCAGTTGCATTTATACACATAGATACAGTTATCATTTGATTCCACATAATAAAGAAGGGAGGTTAATACTTTTTAACTTGATATGAAAGTTTTAAGGTGTACATATAAATTACAAGGCGCTTAGAAACAAAATTAGACAAGTTTAAAAAGTGTGAATGCGATGATCATGGAAACAAACTGAAATAATTAATATCTTATGACTGCAAGAAAAATGAGACCTAAGTAAACAAACCGAACTAAATCCATGGTATACATAGAGGTTAGACCAGTTTCTTTTGGACACATACGGCTCCGTTTTCTCGATGCATATGCAAAATAGTCAGAAACACACTGTCCTATTGGGTATTTTTCACGATGTGGAAAATTTAGATCAATCACAATTCACATTTCTTATAGCTTAGGAAGTTTAAAGTTAATCATCTTTTAACTATACCGTTTCATTTCTGGTTGTCTAGAGTTGTTTACTAATTTGATTTACACACCCAGAGAAGCATCTGAAGTACAAACGTCTGTATTTGAAGGATGATATCCAGATGTACATCGCGCTGTGTATGATGAGAAAACAAATCAAGGCAGCAGAAGCTCTTTAACCTAAATTAAACATTTGCTTAACCTAAAAAATAATTTTTTAAAAAAAAGACTTTTCAAAACAAAGTCCCACACGAAGCAGCTTGTAATTATGATGCAAGCAGTGGTGAGAATTGTCAAGACTGAAAACTCTGTGTTGACAGATAGCAGTAATAAATCATTTAGACTGCTTTTCAGTAAGCTTTTCTAAGAAATTAATAAGTATTGACGATACATCACTGAGTGAAACTAAAATTAATACTTCACACATTTATTCACCTTAAAAGGATTTGAATGAAGCAAGAACAACTGTGGTCTGAGCAAAATAAGATAGTGCCATCCTCGTTTACTTCGTCCGCTCCTCATCAGCTGCTGAAAGTCTAAGGAATTTATCAAGTTTATGGGCAGAACAATTTTAGCATACCTTTAAACGTTATTTAATGTCAGTTAATGATAGAAGACTCTAAACTGAATAACCGGTGCTGAAAAATGAAATTTACATGACTTATATACAGAAAGTTCATGTTAAAATAAAGGCTTGGACATAATGGCAAAAGAGGTACGTTAGAAAGATAGGACGATGAATAACAATGTACTGAGTGCAACTCAAATCATAAAAATGAGAGATAAGTTACTTTATAGCCACGAGGAAGAGGTTAAAGCCAAGAATCACGTAATCAAATGAAGGCAAGGTGAGAAAGAAAAGAAATCCAGTTGCCATGGCAAGGAAAGGATGATAGCTGCTTTTTTCCCAGTCTTCTGACAGCAATCTCTTCAGTGAACTTGAAAAGGATTGATATATTTAGTCCATTGATAGATAAAAGGGTTCTGATTATGTTCACCTGATGACCTTCATCGTCCAGATGTCTGACAATGGCATTATTTAAAGGACTAGTTGTTTTGAGACGTGGACTTTTCTGTAAATATTCGGAAAGTCGAAGGTGTACCTTTTTTCTTTTCTTCCAATGTATCTACTACTGCGGACACATGTAATTGTTTATACACAATTAGGGTAAAAGTAAGAATTACTGTCCATGAAATATTATAGGTTAATTTTGAGGTTAAGTTTCAAAGGTTTAAAATGAGGCCTTGTCTACTAATGCTTCAAATATAACTTGAATGCCGATATGCAATATTCTTTATCAAGCTGAGTACTGTGCGGTGAACACTAATTGCAGTGGGGTTTTCCAACACATTTTGAATACACTCACGTAGTTCACTGATTTGATTTCACTCACTAAATATTTATTTTCATAAATAGGACTAGTTTAGGAGGTGCTGGAAATGACGTTTACTCAGCGTACGATGGATACCAATGCCAGTGCTTTTACTCTCAACTCCTACAGTATTTGATCTGCTTAGATCAAAAGCACATCAAACTACCAGATTTATTGTCCTGCATACAAAATGTACTTTGGTATCAAAGTCGTAGGGCAATGTTGAATGCTTAGCTAGCTAGAGATCATACACGAAATAGTGAAGATAACACAACGATATGCCAAATGGAGTGAATGCTTGACCATGAGCCTTCAGCTTTACTCATCGACTTAGACAATAAAGGTCAGCATCAGCATGATGAGTGATGAAATCTGTAGGCTAATAATTTTGGCGTGTTATTTACCACTATACTCAAGAATGTCAAAAAACAGAGGTGATGTTTAGGAAACTGATAAGCTCTTAAATTCAGTTAATTCCGTACAATTGTAAGACGATTTCGTTGGACATAAAAGAATATATATTTCAAAATACATATATTTCAAATGTTTCACCAGTCACTTTTAGCCATCATAACTCTTCAGGTTGTGTTTATACTGTCTGATTACGTGTTTGTTTGTTGAAATTTTATTGGAGCAAACGTTTATACCAAATTGGACACCTTCAATCTCTGTTAGAGCATGAACAGCAACTGCACGTCACAGCTGACAATTTATATCAATAATACTATAAGCGATACTTGGATAAAATAAGAAGTTGTATTTGGTTGTTTTCTGGATTGAGGGACACTGTATTAATAAATCTGATGTTGAAGGGAGCAAAGTTCGTCGGTGGTTCACTGATGGACTGCTCGCCAACTACGCGTCGTAGGCCTTCCTCTTAGCTGGTGGGAGCCCCGGAAGAGAGAGAAGGTCGGTTGTGAAACTAGTGACCCTTCCTAGTGAAAAGAACTGCAACTGCTATTGAAAATTCAAAGCTGAAGCTTGAAGCCCTATATGCTTCACCCAGAACGCAAAAGAATGGAAAAACAAGCGAAACTGCTCTAGGTTCAACTTTAATCACCAATCAGCGAATGACCTTGGGTGGGCTGACTGTGGTGAGAGCTGGCTGCTAACCAATTGGTAGACATTAATTGACGTCAATGTCTATGTCGCTAATATTGGCCGTGAGAAAATATGAACAAGACTGATTCAACAACCATTCACAGCAGACTTAATGTGGGAAAATACGATTCGCAGATATATGGCTTAATTTTCTGAGAAACCAGTCACAAGCAGTACAGAATAACCTTGAGCAAGAAACAACCAATTAGAAGACTGTGTTTGTCTGCTTGAATAAGCTATAATAATGTACATGAAATATCTATAAATACGTGTTGATTCCCGTAATAAAACGATCTGTTGCCTGGCCCTTGTCTTCTGTTGTTACACTGATGAGTTCCATTCATGTAAGTTGAAGGTTCTTTTCCGCTAGATTCGAGTCAAATGCTTGCTCTAACGCAGTTGCAGTTGCGCTTTGGTGAAGATAAGATTGTCCAGTATTGCTTGGTGGTGGGGTTGCCTAGGAAGGAAAGGATTTGTTCTTGTGGGGTTGTCATGAGTACAAAAGGCTTTAGAAGGTCGGTTGATTGATGTGTCCATCGTTTTGCAATTTTCTTGAGATGAATTAGTGTCAGGGAAGGGAAGCTGATGGATTCTAATATCTCGTAGGAAACTTTTTGCCAGGTCCCACATGTCCTTAACCCAGATTTTGTTGATTTGTGATTACTGGGTTTTAAAGCAGCCTGTGAGAGGTGCATCTCCTGAAACTGAAAATAGTACAAGCACTGTAGAGGTATCGCCTGATGGAAAATGGAGAGACTTACTTCTTTGTTGAGAGGAGAAGGTGTCATTGTACACGTGGATGAAATTGTCCTATTGAAGAAAAAATACAACCGTGGTCGTGAACGAGCAAACAATATTTGGGTGATCAACTTGTATGATGCCTTTCTGCGAAATCGATTCATCGACAAGATAGCAGATATAAAGTCAACTACCTTATTACCCTTTATCAGTCGACTTGTGAAACAGGAATCTATAATACACACCGATGAGTGAAAAGGTTATAACTACCTGTCATCCCTTGGATACATTCACTACAGAGTCAACCATTCTAATGATTTTGTAGATCCCACTACAGGGACACACACCGATTCTATAGAAGGCTTTTGGGGAAGGTCAACAAACAGGATAAGGGCCATTAATGTATCTCAAAAGGATGTCATTTGTAGTTATTTAGATGAATATATGTATAGGGTGTGGTGTAACTTTTCAGCTGATACTCCTATGCTAAACTGGGAGATGTTTTTGTCACGTGTGAGGAAAAGGTATCTTCTGTAACATTTTCATACAGCTTTTATGCATTTTTTGCCATAAACATATGTATTCCTTAACTAAAAATGTATCCTTCGCGTGATTGGTGCTTTCACGGTCATTCACTGATTGGTAGTCAGTGGTGGTTAAAGTTTAACTTTGCTCTACTCTACCACTTTTTTGTCGTTTAGAATCTTCTTAAGCATTAATTATTTATCCTTTGACATATGATATTTCAGCATAGTTCATATCTTACAGATTATTCAGTGATAAATACCTTTAACCTGTTTATTCTAGACATATCAAGTGAATGTTAAACAGCCACTTCAGTCATCGTTTTCTTCTATCTCAACAAAACCATCTTCAATAGTACAATCAGTCAGTTTGCCAAAGACATCTAGTCAGCTAAAAGAGAACAATGATGACGTCGATGGCGATAGTGGTAAAACGTCACAAGTAAACTATTATTATAAAAGGTTAGCACCCATGTATACTTCTTCGTTGAAAATTTCACTTATTTCATCAAATTTTACAACTTCTTAGGAAATTAACTGATAAATAATTACACTAGTTATTTGTTAATCTCTTATTTTAATTTTCTTTTTTTTGAGGTGGTTGGGGATTTGAGACACACACATTTTCAAAAAAGTGTTTTTCTATTTTAACGGGTTTCGGTTTTTGGTGGTTTCTGTTTGTTTAAGTATGAAATACATTGAATATAAACATGCATATACATAATTTACAATGGCGAAAACAATTGTAATTCTGTTTTATTAACTAGGATCAGTGTAAAAATCATATCAATGTGTTCAACGTGTCAAGATAATTGTTTATAAAATTTAAACTACATCACACTGCCTTTTAATATGTTGATACACTACCCCACTTATCGATGAGGTAATATGTGAAGTAGTCATGATGTGACTGCACATCAAATTCGGAAAATTTTTAACTTTATTCTGCATAGCCAAAGGGGAGGGGTATTCATCCATTAGTAGTACTACGTCCTCTCAGATGCATGAATTAATATCACCGTTTTTTTGGTAACCTCTTCTTAGTCTTATTAAAGCTTTTGATGTTAAAAATCCTATAAGTTAACATTTAACTGTGAAGATGATTATTCAGCTATGTCGACGTATTACTAAACGTTTGTTTAGTCAGGAAGAGTACACACGTTGTCCGGGGCTCGGTTTCCCGCCGATAAAGCCCTAAAACTCTATTAACTGATAGTGAACCATGTATTAAGAACAATTTGGGGATGAAGCTAACAATCGCACCCTTCAAAAAAGTCACCAACACTACTGTAACTTCAAAGCTCAGCTTGGAGCTTTATGTTCCATTTGGAATGTAAAGGAATAAAAAAAGACTATGAATCCGCTTGAAATGCTAGACAGCTTCCATGAAGGATTCTAAATTTTGTGATAGAAACCTATTAACTTTCTATTGTTTGGTTTGTAAGGATTAGTTATGTTTTACGGGTTGATCAGGGATTGATATCAGTTAGAGAACCATTGAAAACCAGGGAGTACTGGACAGCTGCTGTTTCATCCTAGTTTGGGAATCATCGGCAGTACGCACCCACTGGGATTCGAACCCGGGACCTTCCGGTTACAAGGCAAGCTCGTATACCATTCAGTGGATGGATGTCCCACCAACGACAATGGTTGGGGTCGCGCTAAATCACGAATTAGTAGAAGTTAGAATTCACGAGCCATTGAATCGGGTCCCAGTGGCTGAATGGTATACGAGCTTGCCTTGTAACCGGAAGGTCCCGGGTTCGAATCCCAGTGGGTGCGTACTGCCGATGATTCCCAAACTAGGATGAAACAGCAGCTGTCCAGTACTCCCTGGTTTTCAATGGTTCTCTAACTGATATCAATCCGTGATCAACCCGTAGAAACCTATTAGTTAATACATATCATTTGACATTACGATATAACTTCTATAGGTTACTAACTTAATGAATTCATATATCTAGCTCACTTCAGAAAAGCCTTCCTAATACTACATACCAGGGTTTCCGATTTTACTGACAAAATTTTAATCCCAGACTTTCAGTAAATGTTGTAACGATTAAAACAAAAAATGTAAAATAAGTACCACTGTTATTGACTGACTGACTGAGTTTCAGTGTGGAATTTCGCATAGATTTGCACCGGTTCAAGTTTCCACATAGTAAACAAAGGAAGGCAAAATTTTAATTTTCTATAGTTTGGTTTGTAAGGGTTAGTTTTGTTTTTACGAGTTGAACACGGATTGATATCAGTTAGAGAACCGTTGAAAACCAGGGAGTATTGGACATCTGTTTCATCCTAGTTTGGGAATCATCGGAAGTAGGCACCCACTGGGATTCGAACCCAGGACCTCCTGGTTACAAGGCAAGCTCGTATGCCATTCAGCTACTGGGACCCGATTCAATGGCTATCGCATCAATTCTAACTTCTACCAATTCGTGATTTAGCGCGACCCCACCCAATATCGTCGGTAGGACATCCATCCCCACATGTGACATCTGAATGGACCTCACTGGTCACTGATCACAGTATAATTTCTGAGCACTACTAAAATCTCATATATCCAAAGTTATACATTCTCAACTAAGATTATCAGCCTGTTAAATAAACCGCCGAATTATGATAAAAGCTTACAAATTACAGAAATAAATCTTTTCGTAAATAATCTTGCAGACGCATTTGATCGATACATTAATAAATAAATAAATAAAAAGGAATATCGAATGAATTCAGTAAAAAAAGTATATTGTGAAAACAAAAAATGATAACAAACCTCAAAAAAGAACACCTAGTTCTTTTTGTCAATCAGAATGTGATAAGTTTAAGATAAAATTTCAAGTTGAAGAGGTTTGTGAGAGAAATTTAATTGGATGAAAGATTTCATCATGAGCAGAAATCAGTTAATTGAAAAATTGAATTGCCAATTTTACCACTAAATAAGCATGTGTATTTAAAACACTTAGTCCCTTTTTTAAATTTGGATAGTTTTATGAGAAGACGAAGGGTATCTAAAAAATGTCACTTATTTCCACTGTACATTTCTAACAAACTGATCACATATTTACTTTTCAAGTCAGTATATATGGGAAAATACAAAGGGTAATTCATTTAAACAAAGTGACATAAGAGATTTGAGAACAATAAAAATAATTAACACAAAGTTTGCTGATCCAATAGAATAAGGTTTACCAAGGTAGATTAGGAGTATTAATAAACTGGAATAAGGCATTTACAAGACAAATTTCTCGAGATGATATCACTTCGTAGTTTCTTTACAACCGCTTTGAAACTAACATGATTCACAATAACAAAACAAAATAAGAAGCAAAACAACTACTCAGTTATGTAAAACAAAAGTACATACTAATAACCAATCATATTTAAATAGGTCAAGTAATCCATGGTAGGCGAAGGTTGAAGTCTATTGTTTTCGTACACTTAGTGTAGGATGTATGTGATTAAACTAAACTAAACTTCCATCACCTTCAATAACCTTCAATTAGAATTATGTGAAATAATTGTAAAATAGTCATGAATATTGATTTTGTGATATGACATTTGTAAGTGTTTTGCAATGGATGATGCTGGATCAGATTAATTCCATTTGGATTTTCTGTATGTTTTAATAACCATTTTCGAACGTGTTCTTTTTGACGACATTGGAATATTAGATTAGTTCTACCTATGTAGGTGTCACCGTATCTGCAGGTGGACTTGTAGATACGATTTGAAATACAGTCTATGAAATTTCGTCCTTTAATCGTAGGTGTAGAGATAGAAAATGTTCGACATTTGAGGAAAATAGATGCGGCGTAAAATGTGCGTTTGATCGCTGACCAAAGTCTATGAGCTGTCAACTGCATAATTTGGTCACCCTTGAATGGTAGGTTAATAAAGAAAACTTTCTTTGGTACAGAAGCTGTTTTTTTTTTGTAGATGCTGACTATCCTTAATGTGACAATTAATAACGTTTTCTGGATAACCATCAGCTAATAAAACTGAATATATCTGTCAAAGCTCATCCATCAATGTGTCACTCTTGCATATTTTCCGGGCCTTGAAAACAAACATTTCACTAGGGAATGTTTCTATTGGATAGGAACAAAACTGGTGAAATGAAGATATTGTCCACTCCATGTCTGTTTAAGAAAAATAGATCGCTTAATCGCTCCACAATCTTTCCTGGTCACTTTTATAGCCAGGAAACGGAGTTTGTTACTCGATTCGAGTTCAAAATTCACTCGGATATTTGGATAAGTATGAATAAATGGAGTATTAAAGTTTTTATTAGACTTACTACTACCATGGATTACTTGACCTATTTAAATATGATTGGTTATTAGTATGTACTTTTGTTTTACATAACTGAGTAGTTGTTTTGCTTCTTATTTTGTTTTGTTATTGTGAATCATGTTAGTTTCAAAGCGGTTGTAAAGAAACTACGAAGTGATATCATCTCGAGAAATTTGTCTTGTAAATGCCTTATTCCAGTTTATTAATACTCCTAATCTACCTTGGTAAACCTTATTCTATTGGATCAGCAAACTTTGTGTTAATTATTTTTATTGTTCTCAAATCCTTTATGTCACTTTGTTTAAATGAATTACCCTTTGTATTTTCCCATATATACTGACTTGAAAAGTAAATATGTGATCAGTTTGTTAGAAATGTACAGTGGAAATAAGTGACATTTTTTAGATACCCTTCGTCTTCTCATAAAACTATCCTAACATGTGTGTAGCCTGTGAACGACAGGCTCTAAGACCATACTCGAAGATGTTATTATCTAGTATGTTTCAAGAAATAACAGCCACCTAGGAACCTAGACAAGGACACAGATTTCTCCGTTCATTCACCTCTAGTCTCTTGCTTTAATGCCACTAACTCTACTACTTAGAAATTTTCTCACCTCTTCTTAATATTGCCGCCACCACCAGCGAATTTGGCTAACGCACCTTTATATAAAAGCCTACAATGTCCAGACGTTAAGTTAAATGTGACAACAAATTGCAGTGGTCAGAATTTTAGTATCTTGGGTTTTTTGATGCTTGTTTTATTTATGATATACAAGTGCAAAGGCACATGTGTGACTATTCACTTAACACTAACTATCAAGCATACTCAGTCTATAAGTATCAAGTGATTTTTGGGCTTAATCTCGTACACTTGCATGCTTTGGGATAGCACTGAGCTCTAGAGGAGAAAACTGGTGATTTGACTGGATTTCGCTAGACTGTCGCTTTTCTGCTACTAAGCTGAAATAACCTGCGTTTATAAGAAACAGCCGTGATTCTTTTGGATACTTGCTTGGAATCTCTGTCTATGCACAAACTCACTGAACTTTGGATGCAGTAAGGAATGGATATTATTAAAAGCTCTCTAGCTAACAGCTGAAGCGAAACCAGCCTATTATAATTATCGTAACAGGAGATTTAAATTATCGAGTGTGGATAGTAGGGCAG